AAAAAATACATATAAACATTATATTATCACTCATATTATTATCATTACTGTTATTAAGATACTTGAGAAAACTTATGAAATAAAATAAAAGTTTAAATAGGAAATATATGTAAAACCTACATAATTATTATTGTTGTCATCATCATCATCATCATCATCATCATCTTTATTATTATTATTATTATTAAAAATTTCTTAGAAGATAATGTTTGTCATCTGCTGACCTCAGCATCAAAAGATACAATAATAAACTTGAAATCTGAGAGATATCAACGTCAAGATGATATATTTTTTTTAAGAATATAAACTATTAGCATTCAGCTGATGAAAATACTCAAGGCCCTCCCCCCCCAAAATCAATGATAGTCATCCTGTTGCATGCCGACTGCAATTCCATATTCAAATCACGTCGTCTGATAACTGCTGAATGTTGCATCACAATCAGTAATCAACACGATGACTGTGTTTTAGGGAACCCAAGAGCGAGCATTTTCATTAATCGTTAATAGTTTATATTCAATTTTTCAAAATGTCACCATGACACTGACACACATTTTTCAAATTCTGCCTATTTTTGTAGCTTTTGATGCTGAGAAATGAGATGGAGACCAGCTGATGAAGTTTTTTTTTTATAATAATGATAATAGTCATAATGATGTAGTATTTACATAGGGTAAGTTGCCAGTTGCTCCTTTTCTGAGATTAAAAGCGCTATACGCACTTGCTTTGTTTCTTCGATTGTATCTTATTTTCGGTCTCTCTTTCATTCCCTGCCTCTTTATCGGCCTCCCTCCTTATTCTACAATTTCTCTTTCTATACTTCTCTCCCTCCCTCCCTCCTTCACCCTCCTTCTTTCTCGCTTTCCATTCTCTCCCTTTCCCCCCCTCCCTCCCTCTACCCTACCCTCCTCCTTCCCTTCCTCCTTCCCTCTTCTCCCTCTCTCTTTCATTTCCATCCTCTCCCCTTTCTCCCTTTCCCTACCTAACCTCTTCCTCCCGTCCTTCACTCCTCCCTCCTCTCCCTCTCTCTTTCTTTCCATCCCCCTGCCTTTCACCCCCCCCTTCTAACCATCTCCCCTCCTTCCCTTCCCTCCTCACACACACACACACACACACGGACACACACAGCTGTGGAGCACATTACTCAGACGTAAAGGCGAAACTGTACCGATCAGCTCATTACCTGGAGACACTTGTGTGTGTGTTCGAATGACCCGCTTTGGCGATACGAAGTGAAACTCTCAGTGTGAGAAAGAACTTGGTTGGCGTTACGTGTGATGCTTTGAAACTCTGACTATAGTTTTTGTGTGTTATTTTTGAGAGAATTTTGACGTGGGTGTTACGTGTGGTGCGTTGAAACTGTGACTGTAGTTTTGTTTGTTATTTTTGAGAGGATATTGACGTCGGCGTAAAGTGTGATGCGTTGAAACTCTGACTCTGGTTTTATGTGTTATTTTGAGGGAATTTTGACGTCGGCGTTACGTGCGGGACGTTGAAACTCTGACTATAGTTTGTGTGTTGTATTGTGAGAATTTCGACGTCGGTTTAAAGTGTGATGCGTTGAAACACTGGTTGTAGTTTTGTTTTTTTATTTTTGAGAGGATATTGACGTCGGTGTTAAGTGTGATGCTTTGAAACTCTGTTTGTGTGTTATTTTGAGAGAATTTTGACGTCGATGTTACGTGTGATGCTTTGAAACTCTGACTATAGTTTTTGTGTGTTATTTTTGAGAAAATTTCGACGTCGGTTTAAAGTGTGATGCGTTGAAACACTGGTTGTAATTTTGTTTGTTATTTTGAGAGAATTTTGACGTCGGTGTTACGTTTTGTGCGCTGAAACTGTTTTGTTTGTTATTTTTGAGAGGATATTGACGTCAGCGTAAAGTGTGATGCTTTGAATCTCTGACTGTGGTCTTATGTGTTATTCTGAGAGAATTTTGTCGTCGGTGTTACGTGTGGTGCGTTGAAACACTGACTGTAGTTTTGTTTGTTATTTTTGAGAGAATTTTGACGTCGGTGTCACTGACTGTAGTTTTTGTGTATGTAATCTGGAGAGAATTTTGTCTTTGTGAATCTTGACTTCAGTTTTTGTGTGTTGTTTCAATTCGTTATTTGTGTTACTTTAAAACTCTGACCCCCACGTAATGTTATTTACCTTGAAAAATTGAGCTCTTTCACCAAAGGTAACTTACAGTGAAAACTTCGTCTACCAGAATTTTGAACTACGGCTAACACTGTACTAAACACTGACTAAACCTTTGGTAATCAGAAAGGATGTGTCATATATAAGTGACTAGATCTAGAGAAAAACACCATAAAGATTACAAAATGTGATAGACAGCCGGTAATATGGGGTGAAGAAATACTTACAGCTAAATAAAGAGGAGCCATTTTAGTGACAAGAAGTGTTATTCAACTAATAAAGGGAAGATGAATGTGGTTGCTAGTCAGCTATTCTGCAACAGGAAATGAAGACAGTTGAGGAATTCTGAGTGTCTGAG